TATTTTTTAATTAAAATGAAACATTTTTCGCAAATTAAAATTCAATTGTAGATTGTAATGTGTTTTTATTTTTCAGAGAGATAAAATTATAAACGCATTTGAGAGGTATTTTAATTTTTAATTTTCATTCTTGACAATCGCGAAGATTAAAATATGAAAATTAGAATGAATCAAAAGTTATGAGTTTCAACAATGAAAATTTAAATATAAATTGGGGCGTGCGACTATATTCTTCATATTGCACTTGACATATTTTTTCCTTTCTTTTTTTTAACGAGCTGATCTTTATAAGGGTTGAAAATATTGCCACAAAATAAAACGATTCGAACTTTTCTTTTTTGTTACTTTCAAATTTTTACTAAATTCTAACTTTAAATAGCGGAAAAATTGGATTTTTCGATTTTTTTTATTTTTGGAAATTTTCATATTTTAAATTTGAAACATTTTAAATTTGAAACATTGACTTTTCGAAGGTTGGAAAAATGCGAACTTTTGAGAATTTATATTTGAAGTTTGAAACATTATATTCCGGAAATATTATTGAAAATTTAAATCGTTTTGATATTTGAAATATTTGATTATATTTCAAAAGTGTTAAATATTTAATGTTTTGAAATCGTTTAAAAACTCTTTCTTTTAAATTGCAAACATTTTGAATATTTTAATTGTTAAAAATTTCCATTTTTAGAAGACTGTGAGAAATTTGAATTTTTTATTACCATTATTTTTCCATAAACAAAGAAATAAAGTTGGTAATTTTTTTTTTAAATAAAACTTCTTGACTTTTAATATTTTAATCTTATGAAACTTACGGTGGAGTTTATAAAAGACAAAAAATTCTCTTTAATGGACAATTGAAATTCAAAGTTATAAAATTTTAAAAAGATAAAAAATATTATGGAACGATAAAAATTCTCTCTTGAAAGTGTAGTAAAAAATGATGTTGAGCGCAAAATTATGTCAAGTCGAATTTAAAGAATATTTCATTTGTGGTTTTTAAAACGACCACTTTTTTTCTTCTTATTTTCATTAAACGCTTCTTTTTCTGGAGCAAATAAAATTTTTCACATTCTTTTTTAACAATTTTTGAATTTGTTTACAAACTCCAATATTTACTTAGAAAAAAAATTAAAATTTTCTCATCTCATGTTTGAAATTGGTTTTATAATTTAGGATTTTCTTTTGTACAAATAAACTCCGAAATATATGTTTTAGAAAATTTTTTATATTTCTAATTCAGTTTTTTTCGTTTACGTAAAAATATAAAAAAACAGATAAATAGAAACTAATAGATTTTATTTAATCCATTCTTTTCTCTCAGTCCTTATTGATTTTTCAGTCTTTAATAATAGTTTTAATTCACTCGGATGTGTTGGTATAAAAATTCATTTTACAAGGAAGAAAAAGGAAAAAAAATGAGCGAAAGCGATGAGAAAAGAGAGAAACTAAAGATTTCTCAGCTGAATATTGAGTAGTCTTCAAGAAAGGATGTTGATGGCGAAGAAGTGGAATAATATTAAAGATTTCAAGGCTCTTGAGAATAGAGGAATAGAAATGAAATTTACGATGAAAGCTTTCAATTTTTCAAAGATGAGCAAAAATCACTGTGGGCGGAAGAGAGGAGGCAAGTTACAACAAATTCCCACTTATGAGTTCCTGGAAGAAGCAAAAAATAAAATAAAAAAAAATGCTTTTATTTTATAATAGAAATAATGCAAATATTTGAATTTTATTTCTATTGAAATTCAAATATTTGTAAATATTTTAATAATTCAAAAAAGTGCTCTGGTTTTACTTTGCTTTTCATTTTTATTTTGTAAAATGATTATTTGACTTCATTTTTGTTGCAGGTAGTTTCTGGAAATTAATTTCTAATTGCATCGACAGGTGGCGCCTCACTGACTTTCCCACTTACATGGAGGTAAGCAGATAAGTTGGAGTCATTTTTAATCAAGTCTTTTAGTCGAGTGGTACCGGTCAGTCGTGTTCAATCAAGGAAAAATAAAAAGTTACCAGTGAAGCAACAAAATTGAATCATCATTAAAAACCTGATAAAATTGATTATAATCTCAAACTGTCAAATTAAAAAAATCCTTTTAACAAATTGGAGTCAATTTGTATAATCATACAACCAATGACCAAAATGAGTCATACAAAAAAGTGGTTATAATCTCAAACTGTCAAAAGAAAAGATTTAATTAACCAAATTGGGGTCAATTTGTATAACCATACAACCAATGACCAAAATGAGTCATACAAAAAAATGGTTATAATCTCAAACTGTCAAATAAAAAAAAATTTAAAACAAATTGGAGTCAATTTGTATAACCATACAACCAATGACCAAAATGAGTCATACAAAAAAATGGTTATAATCTCAAACTGTCAAATAAAAAAAATTTTAAGCAAATTGGAGTCAATTTGTATAACCATACAACCAACGACCAAAATGAATCAAACATTAAAAACTGATAAAGTTGGTTATAATCTCAAACTGTCAAATTGAAAAAACCCTTTGTTTTGGAGAAATCCATCTTTTCCAATAGCAGAAAGAAAAAAATTTCCCCAAAAAAGTAAAATTCCAAACTCAAATGCAAACAATGGAAAACAAAAATCTCGAACGGGAAGTTATACAACAAAATTCTCACTTATGACTTCCTGGTGCCAAAAAAAGGAGTTGAGTCTTATATAGACCGACAAGGAAACGTCGTTGAATTGAAATTCTCCGGTAAGGAACGGAAGCATCATGGCGTGCCTAATTGCAAAATCGATTCTCTTCCTTGTAGAAGTTTACGGAGGCGAAAGCATGTTCAGGACGGCTCTTCTCGTGAAGCTGAGCTCAGAAATAATATATGACTGTTAAAGGGGTGAAAGGACGGGAGGGATAAAGGGGAAGGAACTTTAAAGTTTATTCGGTAGATTAATTGAAGAACGGCAGGAAGATAAAATAAAAAAAAAAAAAGAAAAAAAACACCCCGAAGACGTTATGAGCTCGTAAGGTAACTCCAGTGCTCCTTCTTTCTTCTCTCAAAAGAACATTTTACGAGAAGTTATACGAAGACGTATCGATGAGTAGAAAAACAATGGCCAAAGGCGTAGTCAACTTTCTTTTTTTTTCCTCCTTCCTTTCTTCTCTCATTTTTCTCTTAAAAAACTTTCATCGAAAAGTAAACTCTCAAAACAAAATGTATGCAACTAAAAAGGAAAAAAAAAATTACAAGTAAGAAGAACGTTAAAAAAAACTCTTTTCAATCTAATAACATTTAAGAGCTTTGGTTTACCTTCCAACTTCATACAACAAGAAAATCAAATTCACAAGGAAAGGAAAAGAAAAAAAAATTCTTCCGGATTTTATTATGACTGATGAGAAATTCTTTTCTACAGAACATTATAAAAAAACTTCCCGCAAATAAACTGAATTAGAAACGAAAACATATAAACTTTTGTAATTAGTTTGAAGGAAAATATCTTTATAGAAATAAAATGATTCACGATTATATTTATTTTTTATTTTACGAAAAGGAAAATTGAAAATCTATTGGGAGCGTGTTCGACCCATTTCTCGAGTCATTGAAAATGTATCAATCGTTTTCAATAGGATTCAATTACTTTCTTCAAGGGAAGATTTTTTTTAAACGTTTTTATAGCAATTGGAAAAAAAATATTTTTTTGTAGAAAAGTTAAAAAAAAAGAAAACGGGGTTGAAAAAGAACGAAGTGGTAATGGAAATGAAGCTCCGGTGAGTGTATATTTTTTTTATATGCGATTCACGTTTTCTGGAATAGTTTATCGTTTCCCGGCCCCCTGAACATATACGTCTTTAGCCGCAGTGTCTTATTAACATAATTTGTACGACGATGCGGAAAAATTTTACTGCGGCATTCTGATTTCGTTCAATAATTATTATATACAAATGAGCAATCACTTAAATATATTTATATAAGCTTATTATCGTGGGCGAATTACGAGCAATAAGCATTTCGATAATATTCTCCACGCCACTGTGGGATTCATAAATTCAGATAAATCTCTATTTGCTAACGGCCGGATCAGACAGTTGTGAGATTAAAGCGTAAAAGAGGCGTTTCCATTTTGAAATTGAAACATTAATACCCTTTTTTTTGTTTCAGGATTTAGAGTTTATTTTTGAAAAAATTTTCCCTTTTAATTTTTCAAATTCTTTTTCAATATATTTACATAAACAAATATTTAATTAATTTAATTAAAATTATGATTATAATCTCAAACTGTCAAATAAAAAAAAATTCTTTAAACAAATTGGGGTAAATTTGTATAACCATACAACCAAGGACCAAAATAAATTAAACATTAAAAACTAGTAAAGTTGGTTATAATCTCAAACTGTCAAATTGAGCAAAAATTAATTAAACAAATTGGGGATAATTTTTGTAACCATTCTAAAAAATTTCAGTACTCCGAGTTAAGGTAAGAACTTAAAAAAAAATATAATTCTTCTTTTCACTTTATAACATGATGTTTAAAAACACCCTTAAGCAATATCTTTTTAATATTTAACATTTTCTTTCGAAAAAGCTTCACAACTCTCTAGCTTCATATTCCATCTCAGAGTAATTACCATTTTAATGCAACTATTTTTTTTAATAAATCTTTTGAATTTTTTAGCAACGAATTTTTCCATTAAAAGAAACTCCATAATTAATAAAATAAATTTTTTCAATGTTTCAATTTCAAAATAGATAGTCTCAAAATGATTTTTCCTCTTTTAGTGGGTACCGTACTTCAACAATAAACTCTTGTTTTAAGTTTGAGAATCTCATATTCGCACTTTTTTTCATCATTTTGATTGACAAGTACATTTCTTTTTTTGTAATTTGTAAAAATAGATAATTAATTAAATTATTCTAAGAGTGATTTTTTAATAAAAATTAGAGAATGCACATGTCTAACATATATAAATTTTTTTTTTATAAAACAATACTCTTTTAAATATAATGATTTAAAATTTTGTTTTTATCCTTTTAACACGACTTATAAATAATTAAGGAAATTTTTTTAACGTTTCAAATAAATTTCTTTCATATGAGTCATTTTATTCTTCTTCAAACATGATAAATAAATTATGTACAAATTCGAATAAAGAAGCACCATAGAGACAGAAATGTTGTGAGAAGAAAAATTTGTCAACAAGAATTTTAATCCTAGACTCCCCAGTAGGGGTAGCAAAGTAACACCATTTTTTAAATTTTTTATTCATTTTCTGAATTCTTCGACAAAACAATGTTATTTTATTAAAGATTAAAAAATTGTTATATTAAATTTATTTTCTAATAAAAATTAAAAGTTCTGGTAATTGAGAAATTCTGCGGTACTTTAAGGAGTTTAGGATTAGTATAGAATATATAAATACTTGTATTTATATATTTTATAATTAAATATAAACATTTTTAAAAAAAACTACATTTCTTCATCTCGTTCCCTGTTTTTTTTTTTTTTTTTATTAACAATGTTTTAAATCGAGCGCGAGGAAAATCGTCAACGCAGATTTAGTTAAAAACACATTATTATAATTTGTAACTATAATGGCAGAAGTAGGGTACCCCTTTTTTTTGTTCGTGTACGCCTTCTATTTATTTTCCTCTTTACATTTATCTCTTTCTTTCATACTTTTATATTATCTAGACGTATCATTTGTATTCCTCATTCACATCATCATCATTTTCTTTATTTCTTTTTATGATTAATTGTCGCCAAATTTTTTTTTTTTTAGGCGTTTTGTCCTAGGTTGCACGATACATTTGAGTACGTGATTTCCAGTCTCATGAATACCGTAGTCCGTGAAAAAAAATTGTATATTTAAAGTTTTTTTGAACCCCTTTTCTTTTAAATTTCAAAAGGTCCTGCAAAGAGCTATCACTCGAATTTTTAAGATTTCGATTGTACTTGATAAATTATTCACACACACATATATATATAATATTTTATATATATATAGTTATCATATGCAATTTTTTTTTTAATTAAGCTTCTTGATTATCGTGGCACTGCACTTGCAGGATAGGGTAAAAAACTTTGGGTAAGAACTACCATCATTGCCGTGAGCACAAAAATTAAAAGTCGTTTACTGTTATTTTGAGTTAATGTCACTCCACCTGCTAACCACCAGAGTACTTCACAACAACCGGGAATTGAGCTTTTTCCACGTTGTATTGCCGCTGGATGTTCACCTGAAACAACAGAGATAGGAGGAATTTTTAATTTCATTTCATTTATTTTATTCGTTTAAATAAAAAATAAGATTATTATAAAATATGAAGATAAGGATCACTTCGAGTCTTCGACTCTTAGTGATCCTTATCTTCATATTTTATAATAATTAAAGTCGACCGAAAGATCATTATTTTGGAAAAAAGAAATCTGTTTATGGAAGAATTCATAAAATCTTAATTAGGTTTCTTTTGTATAATTTTCTAACTTTTAATGGTCTTTTGATGATTTCAGCTGTACTTTAACGGATCGGTGCATCTTGGGTGATACGAACTTCTTTGAGTAAAAGTAATCAAGACCCCCGACACGAAGCGATTGATCCGAGAAATATTTCATACCAAACCAAGTCTGCGAATCAGTATTTCGTCACCAACCACTAGTGGAAGAACATTTCCTTGGATCAACGACTCTAAGATTAAATTAAAAGGTAAGTAACGATCACTTTAAATTTTGTCTGTCCTCTTTGTAAATTCGCTATTCTAATTTTCTTTCAGTGTATACCTGAAGACATCTGGATCTAATCTCTCTGATTCTAATTGTAAAAGATTCAAACAAAAACTTTAATAATTTAATTTCAATTTTAGTTTCACTTTCCTAAACCAGTCCCTTAAGATCTGAGCCGTCTACTCTGGACATTAAATAAAATATTATGTTCCATCTCTCCACTAAGATGTAACATATTTTTACTTTACAGAAGTCAACAGTGAAGGAAGGAGGATTATCTGCAATTACTTTGCATCAATCGTCAAAACCAGATAACTTCTATTGATGAAAAATAGTTATAATCTCAAACTGTCAAATTTAAGAAAAAATTCTTATTGTCCCACTGCTCCGGACATTAAATAAAATATTATAGCATGTTTAGTCTCTGTACGGAAATGTAACTTAATAACTTTACAGAAGTCACCGGCGAAGGGAGGAAGGTTATCTATCATTAAAACCAGATAACATCTATTAATGAAAAATAGTTATAATCTCAAACTGTCAAATTTAAGAAAAAATTCTTATTGTCCCTCTGCTCCGGACATTAAATTAAATTATTATAGCATGTTTAGTCTCTGTACGGAAATGTAACTTAATTACTTGACAGAAGTCACTAGTGAAGAAAGGAAAGTTATCTGCAATTGCTTTGCATTAATAATCAAAAACTTCTATTGATAAAAATTGATTATAATCTCAAACTGTCAAATTCTATATTTAACAAATAATCAATTTGTATTCAATTTGTATAACGGTACCCCAATCAGAAAAATAAATTAAACGACGTTTCAGACGGTAATCGAAGATGTCAACCTCCCTTTTGTGTGTCATGTGGTCGACAACAAGTGACTTTGGTAATTCCGGTAAACCGGAAACATAAACACAAACTTTAGCTATATGTGCATAGCAGGTGTCGGGAAATTTGGACATTGCTGTCTTATCTCATGTTAGAGCTGACGATCACTAAGTTTAGAGAAATTAATCAAAAAAATAGTTTTCGATAAAGTAGAAAGATTTCATTTGCTGAAGAATAATCTAGAAAAAATAGACGCGAGTAAGGTCGACCAGTACCTAACTTTGCAGATACTTTTGATTACAAAAAAATCTAATACAAAGGTATTATAAACTCGCTATAGACGAAATGAAAATTTATTTCTTGGTATCGTGCTAAGTATGGGCGATGCGGGTTGGTACTTTCTGAAAGGTTGATGTCACTAGGTGTCATTTGCGCCTGTTTTATGAGGACATAAATGTGGAAAATTTAGATCAGCTGCGTACTTTAAGTGCGTTGAAGACGATCACAAGTTTGCTGACTTTAAAAAGAGTCCCAGCTGCTTCTTATTTAGAGAAAAGTTCAAATCCCTCAACGTTGCCTGAAGTGGAGTTTTCAAGGTCTTCTTCTAGAGGAGGCAATGACATAATAGATCAGTTAGGACAAAATCAAATAAAGTAAATTCAAGGAATAGAAAATTATGATCATGATTATTATCCACTTAGGAATGATAAGAAGTCTTATTACGATAAAATGTTTCTAAGACGTTATGTGAAGAACATAAAACGTTCTAAAAAAGTTTTAGGAATGTTTCTAGAACAAAGACGTTGCCGTGCCTAGAGGGTTACCGAATTCCTTAAGATGATCCAAACTGTTTTTCAGGAAACATCCATAAGACACTTTTGGACGTCTTCAGATCAGACAATGACAAAGATAAAGAAATTATTTAGGTACCAGAAGCATAATTCACCATAAAAAATATCTCCTTATTAAAATTGAAGATTCTTCAAATAACGAATCCTTTATCCAAAAGATGACAAACTAAGAAAGCTGATAATTTAGTGAGTCGAGCAGAACAACAGTTTTTTTTGTCCAAATGACTTCTCAGTACAGAGTCCTCTGTATCTAACAGCAAATATTTTTCCCTCAAATAAATAATAAAGTACTATTAACAATGATCGATTCTTATCCCAAGCAATTATTAAAATAAAAGTAATCCGAATTTCAACTATCCCCCCCCCCAAAGAAAAAGTTTGTTTTGTTAAATCATTTCAAAAGTATAAACAAACTTATAAAAAAAATTCTGTTGAAAAACTTATTTTTCAAGTGTGTAACAAAAATATGTACTTCTGCTTTGTTTTCTGAATTTCTCAAGTCAGAATGCTCCAATAAATCTTTAAAAGTATAAGGCTGAATTGCAAAGTTTGAAAGCTTTTAGTATAAAAGTTTTAAAGGTTTTTTTTTCCCCCAAACATCAAATTTTAAACGCAGAAAACTTTATGGTTTTATAATTTTAACAACTCAAGTTGTAAAATACGTCGTTTAAAAAAGTTCTAATAAACTGAATCAATATGGGATATTCTAAATTTTATCACATAGTCAATAAAACAAATTTTTTCCTCTCAATAAATTTTTTAAATAAAAAAATTCTACATTAATGCTTCCTGTGATAAATTCATAAAATAATTTGGTATTTAATTATATTTAATTATACATCTTTTTGAATAATGTAGGTAATATAACTAGAGCGGTATAATTTAATTTAGTATAATTAAATAATTAATTGATCTTTTATTTCCAATGAATATTCAATTCAAATAATTCAATTTAACATTTCATTAAATTTTCATAAAAAATATTGATATTATACGAATTATTAAATGTCAGTAATTTCCTTTTTTTTTTAATTCTAAATAAAATTTCGTGTCAATTTTTACTAATTTAATACTTTTAGATATTTCTCTCTAACAAAATGTTCGTTTCATACAAAATTCTTATCTGAAATTTCTATCAAGTTTGTCAGAAGTTTAATGTGGATACGATATCGGAAAATACTGTCACAAAATCAGAAATTTCTGAGAAATTTGACATAAATTTTTTTTTTTACAAATAATACGATATATAGAAAATTCTCTGATGATTCTGACACGTTCCACGTATTTACATTTCGTATAAAATATGACAAAATAAATTACTATCGAATAATTTTATACTTTGTAACCTATATTGAAATTGATGTCACTGAATAAAATATAATAAAATATATTTTACATTATTTACATAATAGAGTAAAACGTAATATCAAATGTAATGCATAAAAAACAATTTTTTCTCTCGATTTTTTTTTTGGTTAATTATAATTTAATTTATAATTCAATCTAAAAAGCATAGTGAAAATGTGGAATATAATTTTAATAATCTCGACTTAAAAAAAAGTATTGCAATGAACGAGAATATTTATGAGAAGTTAATATATACGTGTATGTAAATGTACTTTCATAAAGGGCAGTGCTCTTGTAAGAAAAGTCTGTTTTTATAAAAATAGAACGACCTGCCGTGCAATTAATCGCATCACTGCTTACTCAATCGATTTTTTCATTAAGCTGCTCAAAGACACGAAAAATTAAATTGGTTTCGTTCTTAACGACTTGTGACCTTGTTAAATATTTTCAACAAGGTGACATTTAAGCTGACTCGATTTTTTTTTCTACTCATATATTTAAAAAAAAGATTATTATGAATAAGGCGGTGAAATTAAAATTTCCGTAACACTTCAAAGTGACTAATTAATTAGTAATTATTATTAAATTCAAAAAAAGGGGAAAAATTTTTAAGTTGATAAGCAAGAATGGTATGAAATTCTTGTATGAAGAATGTAATTAATTATTGACTGTTTATTATAATTCACTGCTTGTAATAATATTATAATTTTCAAAACTGTTTTATCGGCGGTGGATAATTACCGATCGTGGATAACGAAAATCTAAGATTTAACAAGTAGTTCACTTGGGACTTACTTTTGAAAAGAAAGCGCTGAGACAGAACACCTTTGGAATAAATTATAATTACTTTTAATTGTACCATATCTTTTAGTCACCTTTAAATAAATTAAAAAATAGTAAAAGAAAATTTATCTTCTTATTGAAATTATAGATTAGATTATCTTTAGATAATAAAAACCCCAAAAAGCCGCCCACTAAAAAAATTCTTTCCAATTCACAGTAATTGTAAGAATTAGCACCAACATTGCCGATTTGAGTAATATCAGAATATTCATAAAATTTCCATACCATTAACTCATTTCACCTCAATTATTATTCTAAAAAACAATTTCTCCACTGTTTTTAGAAATAACGACATAAAAATTACATTGATTTTAAAATTTTCCAAAACTGAATCTTGATTTAAATGATTATTATGCAAAAATGGACCAATTCGACTTTAAAATATCGAACTTACTATATATACAAAAAATTAGCATAATTCAGTTCGGAATGAAAATTGAATATTTAACGATTGCATAGATATGGAATTTTCATTCTCTATCGAGAAAATGACTTTGGAAAATTATTCACAGTAGTTCTATGTAGAATATCGAAAAAAAAATTTTTTCCTCTTCCAAAACGACGAAATGGTGGAAAAATGTTAAAAAAAGGTTTTAAATTTACAGAATTGATAAGAATTTGATTTTATTACAAAAAATCGAAAAGAGAGAGAGAGAGAGAGAGAGAGAGAGAGAGAGAGAGAGAGAGATTGAGAGAGAGAGAGAGAGAGAGAGAGAGAGAGAGAGAGAGAGAGAGAGAGAGAGAGAGAGAGAGAGAGAGAGAGAGAGAGAGAGAGAGAGAGAGAGAGAGAGAGAGAGAGAGAGAGAGAGAGAGAGAGAGAGAGAGAGAGAGAGAGAGAGAGAGAGAGAGAGAGAGAGAGAGAGAGAGAGAGAGAGAGAGAGAGAGAGAGAGAGAGAGAGAGAGAGAGATTATTGGAAATAGATTTTTTGGGGATAAATATTTAGGATTATAATTTATTATAGTAAAGTGTCCTATTACCATTCAGCACGTGGAGCACAACACTGGCGCTATCCAAATTATTTGGACTGCAAGTGTAGTTTCCTGAGTCCTCCTTTCTCGTATTGGGTATGATGAGATTGCTGATAAAGTCAGTAATGCCATCGACACGTTTCGATAATATTTGCACTTTATCGCCGGCATCGTAGTGGGGCACTCGATCGCCTTCGTGGTACCAGAACACGAAGGAAGGTATTTCAAGTGACTGCTTTATTACACATCGCAGTGTTACTGTATTTCCACTTTTTACATACATATCTCCATCGGACTTTTCTCGATTCAATTCAATTTTATTTGATTCGATCTCGATCTCGATTTTTGGCACTGAAAACATAAAGAAAGAAAAATTATTACAGACAAATCAGTGATTATTACAAATATAAAAGTTTCGATTTTTGCCACTGAAAACATAAAGAAAGAAAAATTATTACAGACAAATTAGTGATTATTACAAATATAAAAGTTGTTGTTGGACTCGACGTGTCCTGGTATTGTCCCAAAATTATAAAATGTTCTCAACGTGTTCTGAGAATGTCCCAAAGTCCTAAAATGTTCTCAACGTGTCCTGAGAATGTCCCAAAGTCCTAAAATGTTCTCAACGTGTCCTGAAAATGTCCCAAAGTCCTAAAACGTTCTCAAGGTATCGTCCCAATTTTCTAAAATGTTCTAAACGTGACCTGATAATGTCCCAATGGCCTAAGATGTTATCAACGTGTTTTGAGAATGTCCTAAAACGTTCTCAACGTTTCCAGATAATGTCCCAATTTTCTAAAATGTTCTTAACGTGACGTGAGAGTGTCCTTAAGTCCTAAAACCATCACATTGGGTCCTGAAATTGTCCTAATGGCCTAAAATGTTCTCAACGTGTCCTGAAAATGTCCCAAAGTCTTAAAACGTTCTCAAGGTGTCGTCCCAATTTTCTAAAATGTTCTTAACGTGACCTGATAATGTCGCAATTTTCTAAAATGTTCTTAACGTGACCTAAGAGTGTCCCGAAGTCCTAAAATGTTATCAACGTGTTTTGAGAATTTTCCTAAAACGTTCTCAACGTTTCCTGATAATGTCCCAATTTTCTAAAATGTTTTTAACGTGACCTGAGAGTGTCCCAAAGTCTTAAAATGTTATCAACGTGTTTTGAGTATTTTCATAAAACGTTCTCAACGTTTCCTGATAATGTCCCAATTTTCTAAAATGTTCTCAACGTGTCCCAAAGTCCTAAAACGTTCTCAAGGTGTCGTCCCAATTTTCTTAACATGACCTGATATAAAAAAAGTTCTTTTTTAATGTCCTAAGAATGTTCTGGAAAAGATACCCTATAATGACACCTCATGGATCTCTTTGCCCACTTTGTTAGGGAAACCAATTTTGATTAGCGGCTCATTGTGTTATATTTGCAAGAATAAATAATTTATTTAAAGAAACATTTTAAATTCTTTGTCACCCTTAAATGTTTTGAAAATACAAATTTTCCATAATATTCTCATCGTAAATTTTTTTCTTGCAGAAAGAGTGGAGCTTAGAAGTAGACCCCCCAGGGTTTTTGCAGATCTCTCTCCTTTTTTTCTATATTTTATTAAATTCGTCTCTATCTATAATAAATCAATCTTATACAAAGCAAATATGAACGTCACTTTGAATTGCAAAAAATATTTTTTTATGATCTTTATACTTACGAGGGAGTAACAAATAAAAATTTTTTTTTCAATTTATATATTTAATAGTTAAAATGCAATTCGAGTTTTTGAAAGAAAAAGAAACTCATAAAACTTGTTCCAACTGTGGGTGAATCCCTTAGGGCTCGTAAACAGTAATACGTACAATATTCATTGCAATCTCCACAGTTTTTCTCGTAAACAGTGTTTCGCGTTTCGTGCATTAAAAAAATATTTTACCACGAATTTCACATATCTCGTACTCCATTTATACATGTATAATTCTCTATATATGTGTTAAAAAAAATTCTCTGCCTTGCTTTTAAAAACTCTAACGATAATTAAAATATTTTTGGGGTAAAAAAAATAATTCAAACAAAAGAGCTTCCTGTATTTATTGCTCTATTTTGTGTTTTATTACTTTTTTCTTTTAACTTTTCCATTCAACGGCAACATTAAAAGCCGAGCATGTTTCGGTACATTATGGCTTAACTTTAAGGCAAATCATTATTACAACTATAACTTGTTGGTCGTTCAAGTCTAACTGCAGTTTTGCTATTTTTTTTTAGATGAAGTTTATAAAAGGATTTTTTTTTTGAAAAAGAAAATGTTCCACTTTTGTTTTTTTATTATTATTTTAGATGACCGAGTTTATTGTTTCTATATTTATTCTGTTATATAAACGATGAAAAAAAATTAATTAACATGCAAAACATTTTATTCTTTTGAAAATAAAAAAAAACAAAACAAAATGGAAAAATAAAATTATTGCAAAAATATAACAACGTACCAACGACATTCAATTTGATAATGTGACTCATTTTTGGTTCGGTGGAAATTTGACATTCATATTGGCCCTCGTCTTTTGCCTGGACGTATTTTATTTGTAGTTTCCATGTGTCCGCATGTTCGACGAATATCGACTGAAACCTATCGTCAGCGATGAACATTGCTCTGTCCACTGACAAAATGTGAGAATCCTTTTTCCTCACCCACGATACCTGCAAAATAAATAGTTTTAAATTGTTATTTTTACGATTTCAATTAGTTTACTACTAAAATATTATTCGAGGCCATGAAAAACTCTTTTTGCCCTAAATTAGGTTCATATTTTAAAACTATAATTCAAAACCCGCTGAAAAATAGAAATTAGAAATATTTAAAAAGCTTTCAGTTTTTGACGTGTAACAATTTTTACCATTAAATTTTTGGGCGCAATATAAAATTGAGAGAATGAAAATTCAAAAAGTCGAAAAACCACTATTTTATAAAGTCATTTTTTTTTAAAAGCTCTATAGTAGTCTTTGTTATGAATTTTATTTAAAATATTTTTTCCGCCTGTGACATTTAAGAGCAATAAATTCAACGCCTAACGAGCCTTGTTTGAATAGAATTCATGAAAAATTGTTCGAGTTATTACGGTTTATATCTCTTGTAGTCACAATAATTATAGATTTAGGCGAGTGACACTAGTTTTTTAATCCACGATAACCCAGTTAAAATATAAAAGGTATACACAAAGATAAAACAAATGAAAAACTATTGGAAGTAGAACACACAGATATTTATTTATTGAAACAATCTTTTACTTTTTTTAGGGAAATTTGTAATAATATCCAGTATGTCGATAAATATAAATTGATTTCGAATTCGGAAAATTACGATTTTCAATTTGAAATGAATTTATAAATAATTTACTCTCGTAGAAAATAAAATAAGATTATTTATTTTTATTCATATATATGAATTTATGACACGTTTTTAATTATGAAATATTTATTAAAATTTACTCGCTTGTGAAAATAAAACTTATGAATTCTAATGATAATTGTCAAAGAAGAGGGAAAAAAAAATGTAAATTTGTACCTCACTTGAAAAAACATTTTTTAAGGTTAACGCACGCGAGAGAGGACCCTTTCCTCCAACTCTAAGCTCTCGAATAGAGGTCTTCATTAAGTAAATCTTAATGAGGGTCAGACTCAGGACGTGCTCGTGAAACTACCGCTGCTACATTTAATTTGTAGAGATAGCATCGTGCGAGCCTAAGTACGTCCACGTACCGGTAATTATACGAATTCGCGTGTCGCTGGTCACTTTGTTAACGTCATGCCTCAACCGACTTTTAGATGGTGATAAATTTTATCTGTCTTCAATCTCTCTCTTATTTTTAAACGTTAGACACTTTTCATAACGACCAATTAGTCATTACCCCAAAATAAGGGTATCGTTAAATTAATTCAAATTAGGGGAAAAGGAAATTATTGTGCATAATACTTTTAGTTGTGGACGGTTGAAAATCTTTTTTTTTTTAATAATTTGTATTTTTGACACAAAACTTGTAATGATTGACATTTTGTAACTATTTAGTTAATTATTAGGACCCAGGGGGTCGATTTCCTACTTCTCATTCTCACTTCCACTTCCTACCTTTCACTTTACACTCTCACTTCCACTTCTCACCTATTACTTTCCACTCTCACTTCCCACTTTCCATTCTCACTTCCACTTTCCACTCTCACTTTCCATTCTCACTCCCACTTTTCACTCTCACTTCCCACTTTTTATTCTCACTTTCACTTTCCACTCTCACTTCCCACTTTTCATTCTCACTTCCCCTTCCCACCTTCCACTTTCCACTCTCACTTTCTATTCTCACTCCCACTTTCTATTCTCACTTCCACTTTCCACTCTCACTTCCACATTCACTTCCCACTTTCCATTCTCACTTTCACTTCCCACTTTTTATTCTCACTTTCACTTTCCACTCTCACTTTCCACTTTTTATTCTCACTTCAACTTTCCACTCGCACTTCCACTTTCCACTCTCACTTCCACATTCACTTCCCACTTTCCATTCTCACTTTCACTTCCCACTCTCACTTCCCACTTTTTATTCTCACTTTCACTTTCCACTCTCACTTCCCACTTTTCATTCTCACTTCCCCTTCCCACCTTCCACTTTCCACTCTCACTTTCTATTCTCACTCCCACTTTCCATTCTCACTTCCACTTTCCACTCTCACTTCCACATTCACTTCCCACTTTCCATTCTCACTTTCACTTCCCACTTTTTATTCTCACTTTCACTTTCCACTCTCACTTTCCACTTTTCATTCTCACTTCAACTTTCCACTCGCACTTCCACTTTCCACTCTCACTTCCACATTCACTTCCCACTTTCCATTCTCACTTTCACTTCCCACTCTCACTTCCCACTTTTTATTCTCACTTTCACTTTCCACTCTCACTTTTCATTCTCACTTCCACTTTCCACTCGCACTTCCACATTCACTTCCCACTTTCACTTCCCACTCTCACTTTCCACTTTTCATTCTCACTTCCACTTTCCACTCTCACTTCCACATTCACTTGCCACTTTTCATTCTTACTTCCACTTTCCACTCTCACTTTCCAGTTTCACTTTCACTTTCTCACTATTAGGAGAGGAAAGTGAAGGCTTTAAAGCTTTAAAGGTTCGCAGCTTTTTTCACGTTCATGAAAAAATCAAGAAAGTTTATTTTAGAAATTAATTTGTCCAAAGAAAGTAAATTTAAAAAAAATTAAAAACCGTAAGAATTTAATGACCAAAATAAATAATCTGTAATTCTTTTCAAATGTTTGAAATATTAAAATTTGAAATTACAAAAATTAAATATAAAATTAGTACTCCTTTGGAAAGTGAGATGTTTTTATTTTCGATATGTGAAAATGTTTTATATTTATATTTTATCTTTTTAATTTACCTTTACAAGCTTTTAATACACACTTTGGAGTCTTTGAAATTGACGACGATTGCATTTTACTGAGATTTCGTCGGGGTCAACAAAAAAAAAAGTGGAGTTTTCACGATAATGACTCTTAAGCAGCAGCACTTGAATCCGTTTGAAGTGTGGTACAAGCTCTTCACCTATCGTCGCGAAACTTAAAATTTAACGTCTTTGATAACTGTTTAAGTGTTTAAAAACGCATATACGCAGCACTTTCTTTACAAGAAATTTTAATCTTTAAAAATTTTTGTAAAGATACAAAAGAAAGGTCAGATATTAAATAACAATTTCAATTACGTATTAAGGTAAAATAAAATATTCATAATTGGAAATATTTTTTGTTTATTTAAAAAATATATTTTCTAGAAAATAATTGCGATATTTAAACTATATTTATAGTTAAATATATTATATATATATATATATATATATATTTGTATATACAAAAAAATTTGCATCACCAAATATATTCTGCTTGATATATTAAATGCCGAGGTGACATTTACGTTCCTGACTCCTATCTGTTGGATTTACATATTAAATGAAATCTCCCTTTTTTAATTTTAAATTTTTGCCCCGAAAAAAAGAACAAGACAATCTTTAGAGCGTGTAATAAATTATCATTTTAATTAATCAATTATGAGTTATCTGAGCCCGCAAACTAGAGGAATTATGGCGCGATCCATTGATGCATCCTATATAAACAAAATAATGGATTTCGACCCTTGCTTGTTTAAGCTAATTTTTTTTGTTCCCCCATGTTTCGTTTATCGCTATTGAGTTTCTTTAACAAACTTTTTAATAATTTTTAATTTGATACTCTGACCTAAAAACTAAAAAAAACGTGCGTAAATATATTGCGACGATACATAAAGTTGATTTAAATTTTTAATTTCTACCCTGTCTATAAATTTCCCTTGATTCAATCATAATATTAAATATATTTTTGATGTTTATTTGAAGATTCTTTAATTTTAATAAGGGGACTATGGGGATAGGTATACAATTTATAATGATTTTTCTAAAGCTTCTTTCGACAAAGTAAATCATAGTATTCTATTAGTGAAGCTCGAGGTCCTAGATTAAAAGTTATCTATAAAGAAAAGACTATTGAGGGACCTCTAAGGCTTTTGGATAAAACTTGAAAGGATTGCAGGTCTTGGTGATCAACAGTTTGTACGAATGGGCACTTTTAGCCCGTGTAATTAAAAATAAATAAATAGAATAGTAGGTAAACTGTGAAAAACATTTGAAAAGATACCAACATCAATTGAAAATTAAAAAAAAAAAAACTTTTCATTTGATAGAAATAATTTAAAATGCAAGTGAACCGAATAAACACGAGATTGAACTGACGTAAGCAAAACGATGTATCATTAACGCAAGTAAAACAAAAAAAATCTCTTTAAAATTTAACTAAATGTTTTCGCCTCTAAAAATGAATAATTAAACTAAATGCTTAGAAGTAGATAATGTGAAAATGAGAAATTGAAAAAAGAACACTTTTCTATGCAAGCATTGCATATAATCTTCATATATTTAAACCTCGTGTCAGTAATAGAGATTTTATGAGGGAATTCCATAAAAATAATTGGCGTGTACTCGTGTATAAGTTAGAGCGTGTCAAAACAGCTTTCGCAGCTTCATGACCTAGATTGTTTTAATTTACTCGTTTAAAGCTTCATTGTTTGGCTGTTATTTTCCATCCAACTGGCCTTTCACTGACATAAATTAAACATATACTCAAATTTAACTTGACAGCATATCTCGAAATGTTGACATAATTTTTTTTTTCACTGGTACTTTACGCAATCACCATATAGATTCATGCTAAAAGCACCATTAAATTTGCCATTTATCTCTTATAAAAATGGGAATAAATTCATTTATGAAAATCAAAATTTGTAGATATAGTTATTTTTTTGACCTGATGAATTCAATATTTGTTTTTTGTGCAAATAAAACGAGAAGTTTAATAATAATTTATAATCGTTCAACTCAGTGTTTGATATTTTAATAATTTATAAAATTGTGATGATTTATTTTATACTCGTTTAATGGAAAATTATACAAAAGTTTGATTATTGAGGATTAGGGTAAAATTTATGAGGGTAATAGAAGGCTCACCTTGTGGATGTTAATGACTAGGCGATGATTTAAGAATAGCATTCTTGATAACTTTGGAATTATAATAATGAAACCATTTTACACGTTAATATCATCTTGATGATGATGATGACTAGGCGATAATTTAAGAATAGCCTGATAACTTTAGAATAATAATAATGAAACCATTTTTACTAATATTATTTTGCAAAAAAAAAAATACTGCGCCGTCGGATTTTATAATTGGCGTGAAACCTCCAGCTCACGATTTTTATCAGAAAGCAAAGAAGAGAGTCCCTTATGGCAATTTGTCCCCTCGTGCATTTAGTCTATGTATACAAAACGAGGCAAATAAAAGACAGACGCCCTTCCCCACGTGTTTGGTGGGTTCACGTGTTAAATTGAAGAGAGCACCGTCTATCAACTGCAGCGCACAAAGAACTTTGAATTTCGCTTTAAATATTATTAAGCTTACTCTTTAATAGTTGTACTATCGATTTATGGGATGAAAAACATCTAGTCTTTGAAGCACCTCATGTGGTTTCTTTCATTAAAAATTTTTTAATGTCAAATGTGTTCATTGCAAGTGTCTTAAATAATTATCCAAGAAATTAAATTATTTCTGAAATAACTTTTTTTTTATAAGTAGTAATAATTACATAAATGCAACTTACAGATTTATTGCCTAGTTGACGGACTTTGCAGGGTAGAAAAGCACGTGTGCCCAATTGTGCCGTTATGTTCGTTGCACTGCTTGAGTCAAAATAAGGCCCTGTGTATAGTCCAGTCATTCTTTTTACTTTAGTATGCGATCTCGTACTCACTCCTAAAACAGAAAAACGAAATAGATTTTAAAAAATAAATCACAATATTTGATGAAAAACATTGTATCCGGACTTCCACTGGGTCACTTCTGAAAACTAACTTTCTGGTCTGTAACGTCGAGCTTCAATTTTATCTTATTAAACCTAAGTACCGTCACCTTTCAGCCTTCTTCTAGCGTCTTAGAAATCTTTAGTACTATGTCCTTAATGATTTTTTCCTCCCTTTTGTAAGTTACTTCTCCAATTTTAGTGAGGAAACTGTTTTTTGAAAAATATTAGTTATGTTAATCTGATTGGTTTCTGTTTCCTAAAAATACTGATAGCATTATAAATTTTAGGTTCTTGCTTCTTCTTTTGTGGTTGTAGACCATTTCAGTCCGTCCTTGATTGTCATGTTGACATTCTTCTGCACCTTACAGAACATCAGCAGCTTTCTAAAGGATGAAGTGGAACGTCTTCAAAGGTTTGAAGAGAGAGTCGTAAAAATGGTGAATCCAAGAAGATGGGAAAAATCGAAGAGAGCGTATCCACCAACGTCAGCTTAGACGTGCTCTTAAGGACTTAAGTTCTAATAAGAGGCGTTGGAGGAAAGTCCTACGTTGATGTTCCGGGCAAACCTTCACAAGCAGATAATCTCTGACGTCAAGAATACAAGATTTATAGGGGTAGTACCTAAAAAAGTGGGTAAGGGTACAATCCTGTCTCATCAAGTGGAGATTGTAGGTCACTAGGTGTCATGATAACATAATAAGACTTTGAAAGACGGTGGACAGATCGGCTGCGTGCTTTAAGTGCAGAGAAACAGATCACAAGTTAAAAGCCAAAATTGATGAAAATGTGTACAAACTCCAAGTATCTGATTATATTCCTCCAAGGTTTATGCAGACTTTCCCCTAGCCAGATAATAAAAAATATATTTACATTCACCTACAGATAAATGGACATTGATCTATAAATATTTTCAATTAGGATTTATGGTTTATTAAAAAAAAAACTAATTCTAATATCATAAAACATTTACGTGTAAAAATACTTTCTATGAAATAAAGAATAATGCAAAAGACCATAAAAAAGGGGAATGTATTTTAAACTATACCCTATGTATCCGGATCATATTAACCACCATCAGTATAACTTTGATATTCAGGACAGTAAATGTTAGCACTAGTTGAACTGACGATATTACAGTTTTACAACTAGTACAGTTTTCAGCCGATTGGGAGTTCCAACAATATATTCACATTTTACACCTGTGTACGAAAGTTGTAGTACTTAACTTTTATTATCAATCAGGCATGAAATATTACACTGCAAAATTATAGTTTATTCTTAATGTCGAATTTTATCATCTCTACATAATAAATACAATTATTTTGAGAAAAAAAAATATCTCCTAAATTTTACAAAATAATATTTTTGATAAAATTCTTGAGTGCAACACTAATTATTGAATCCAATATCCAATTTGGTTTACGTTATAGGTTTCGCACCTATAAAATAAGATATTCGATCGACCTATTTTAAAATTAACTCATTTCCGAATTTCCCTGACATCAATAGCAGAAAAACGAAGAGTACAACTTCCGAGTATCTGTTCATTATTTGCAAATTGACATATCGACGTTTGCATTGCCTGAAGGGTTGCGGAGCTGATTAATCCATATTACCTAGATCGATGTGATCGTAGGATTTCTTGCAATTAGTCTCTATGTTAAGTGTCTAGTGTCAAACGTAATTAATGATGCTTTTAACGATTTCTGCGCATGGAACTTTATTGTAACCAAATGGATTATTTTGATTAATTATAGCCTCGAATCGTATCATTTTTATAAAATTGAATAATTTTATAAAAATTTCTTGAATAAATTTTGAAATTCGGTAGTGAAACTTGATACTTTTTAATCATAGTTTTTAAATTCGAATGTGGTTAAATATTAAAAGGTAGAAATAAAAAGAAAATACAAATTTGTTTTAGTAAAATAAATGATAAGGAACAATACATTGTTACAAATACGTTGATTGAACATGACGTGTCTATCGACAAAGTATTAATTGTTTACTCAAAATCATGTTCATCACTTGCAAATTGTGATAACATGATTCAATTTCTGAGATTAACGCATCAGTAACAGGAAGTACGCTCGGCTATTGATGTTGGAACTTGATTGAATATGGGTGTAACAGAAATCAATATTATTTTTTTGTTCTCTTTTTTTTATTAACATCAAGTTACGTGTGATTGCATCGTATAACTATTCTACTTTGGAATTATTTAGTAGCAGTCTCTGTTGTAATTCTATAGTGGTTTAAGCATCAAAGGTTGTATTTGAATTAGAAGTTTGAATTATTAGTCACCCGAACCATTTCACAGCATCAGTTATTCGGCAGTACGAAACTTGGAAATTTCCACCAATTACACCAATTGATTAAAGGAAAGCAAACAATACAAATGATCAGAAGTTTGAAATAACTGTGAATTATAACTATTCTCAATCTTATTGTTCCAAATGTCAAAATTTCGTCTAAATACATCTAATTAAAAATCTATAGTGTTTGTACAAATTTGTTGTCTTGATTTTGATTATTTTTATACAAAAAATAGTATGCAAATTAAGTGAAGAAAAACATTCTTATATTGGAAAGCATTATCGTTTTAGTTGAATTTGACAGTTTGAGATTATAATCATTTTTTTCGTTCTTAATAACTTATAGATAATAACAAAACATTTTACAGTTTTGCAATGTTGATGTTTCTTCCAGCAACTGATAGAGGATTTCATGTAATTTTTACTTAAATTTGACAGTTTGGGATTATAACCACTTTTTTCGTTCTTAATAACTTTTAGATAATAACAAAACAATTTTACAGTTTTGCAATGTTGATGTTTCTTCCAGCAACTGATAGAGGATTTTATATAATTTTTACTTAAATTTGACAGTTTGGGATTATAACCACTTTTTAAGTTCTCAATAGCTTTTGGATAATAACAAAACCATTCTACAGTTTTGCAATGTTGATGTTTCTTCCAGCATCTGATAAAAGATTTTATGTAATTTTTACTTAAATTTGACAGTTTGGGATTATAACCACTTTTTTCGTTCTTAATAACTTTTAGATAATAACAAAACAATTTTACAGTTTTGCAATGTTGATGTTTCTTCCAACGTCGGATAGAGAATGACTGACGACGTGTCACGCATCCATGCGTTGCTTAGGAGCGATTGGTGCGCTACGGTGAGTGATAAGTGAATGAAAGTGACGATCAAAGAAAAACTCGATTATCGACAGCCGATACGTAAGTTAAGATCTGTTAAGTAGCGTTGATTTTTTTTTCTCTGCACGTATATTTGAAAATAATTAATGTAAGTCAAAAGCCCTTTTAATCGACAAGTTAGAATGGTTCTCCATTCATTTAAAAGCTATCGATTAGTCTTGAAGTTGAAAAGTTTAAAAAAGAAGGTTAAGTAGATAATGAAACTTTCGTTGATCTTAACCACAAGAGGAAGAGCTTAATTTAGGCAATTAAATTTGAATAGACAAAAAGCAAAAGCTCGCAAAAGTCTAGAAGTCCTATAGTGTCGAGTGTAATTACGGATTTGAAGAAAGAGTGGAACAAATGATTTTTCATCTCAATTCACGCTTTATAAGTGCAACATTTTTTTTTTTTTTTTTTTGATAGAGGAAATACATTGGAGTTGGCACTGTGAAAATGAAGGATTTAATTTTTACTACAAGCTCCTTTCTTTGTCCAAAGTGAAAAGCCTTCTTATACCAAGAACTTGATTCTCATTCCACTGAATCGTACGAGAATAATCTAACGCCTTTGTCCATAGACTTTGTCAAGACTTCCTCTGAATATATTCATTCGAGCAAGAAAAATACGACGTGAACTTTGTCAGAATTTTACTTCTCGAGATAAAATATTTTTCAAGTTTGTCTACCAGTCTATATTAAACACCCACACACACAACCATTCAAGAACTTATAAAATTTTACACCCCTAGAGAACTAATTTATTGATATCATTTATTAATAAATCATTTCTAGAAGAAATAAAAATAACCAAACCCCATTAAAAATTAAAAAAATAAAATTGGTTCAATCAATTAAAAACTATGTTCTTATATAAATTTCCACTATTTGCTATTTATAAATTCGTGCTTTATTGGCTAGAAGAAAATGTCTGTGTGTTTCTTTTATTGATGGAGAAGTGTAAACAAATTTTTCTCTTTACTCTTTTATTTCGACAAGAATGAAGTCGTGTATAACAGTTAGTGTGAAACTTTCAAAGCTCTTTTAAAGTTGTCGAAATAAAAGCACATAATGCAAAGTTTCGCTAAACAAAAAAGAATAAAAGAAATGCAAAGGTTTCTGAAGTAAACAATATTCACTATTCTAGTTGAAAGCATATGATTTGTTTGCAATAGCTCACTTTTGTATTTTTTTTTATTTAAACTTTTTTTGTTATTGAAGCGAAACTTTTGCAGCAAAGCTAATAAAAAAATTCCTTTTTACAATTAAGAGTAAAATTAAATTGAATAATTGACTTTGGTTGTCCTTTAGTGAAAAGCCCCGCCACCACGTCAAGGTCTACTGAACATATCCATGATGACCCAACACATCTTTTTGGATATTTAATTTTTTCTCGTTCCAGAAAAAAATTTTCGAAAAAGTTCTTTCGCTTTATGACTATTGTACGTTAAATTAGATTTTTTTCTGCTCCAGTAATAAAAAGAAATATGTTCTTTATAGAGGTAATAACAATGCGATAATATAATTCCTATGCATATTGATTTCTTATAAAAAAAAATATGCACATAATAAAATAACATGATAAAAAGAAATGGAAATGCATTTTTTGATCGTTAAAATTTATTACACGGATCAAAGGCAAATTTGTTGGGTGATAAAGAGTACTATTTTATAATTTTATGTTAACAGGGTGATTATTAGTTTAGTATTTCAGGGAAATGTTGCTTATTACAAATAAGATGAACTTAT